CCTCAGACAGCACCTTCCAAACCCACAACCACTTCCATCTAGAAGGACAAGGGCATCAGATACATGGGAACACTACCCACCTTCAAGTTCCCCTCCAAGCCACTCACCATCCTGACCTAATACCATTTCTTTAGTGTTGCTAGGTCAAAATCCTGGAATTTCCTCCCTAACGGCAATGTGGGTCAACCCACAACAGGTGGACTACAGCAGATTAAGAAGGCAGCTCACCACCACCTTTTCAAGGGGCAACTAGGGATGGGCAATAAATGTTGGCCCAGGCAGTGACCCCCATGTTCCACTGGTGAATAAAAGAAATTGAAAGGGCTGTACAGGATAGACCCAGATAAGATGTTTACCTGGCTGGGGAGAAACAAGGGACAGAACTTAAAAATAAGAGGGATGCCACTTAGTTTGAGATGAGGAGAAATTATTTCACGTAAACAGTTTGAGGGCTGTGGAGGCTCAGTCTTTAAGTATGGTCAAGGTAGAGATTGAGAGATATCTGATTACCAGTGGAGTACAGGATTATGGAGTAGGTACAGAGCACTGAAGGGTTCAATCAGTCATGACCATTGAATGGTGACTCAGGCTCGATGGGCTGAATGGCCTACTCGTATTCCTGCATTCCATCAGGTCTGCACCAGCTGTCTGCCAAGTACCATTCCCTCCCTTTAACCCTGCCCAGTCTTTCTCCTCACCGCCCCCGCCCCACCCACTTTTGAATACTTTGACTGAACCTGCCTTTACCCCACTCTCAGGCAGTGCGTTCCAAACCTGAACCACAGAATTATTCTGAAGGGGAGCAGCAGAATCCATACTCCCTGTGATGTCTGTTTACCCTACAACCTGAACCGCTAAAAATAGACCATCAGGTCATTGTGGGTACTTCCTGTGCGCAAACATTACAGCAGTGATTACCCTTCAAAAGTCCCACATTGGCTTCTAAAGTACGTAGGGCTGTCCTAAGATAATAAAAATCACCACAGAAACACAAGTCAGTCATTCTGGATAGCGGGTCCTTCCTCAGTCTCAGTATGCAGACTCCCTCAACCCCCCAAATTTCCCACAGCGAGAATGTACATGATGCAGGGCAGCATGGTGGCTCAGTGGTTAGCACTGCTGCCTCACAGCGCCAGGGACCCGTGTTTGATTCCGCCCTCAGGCAACCATCCAGGTGGAGTTTGCACATTCTCCCCGTGTCTGTGTGGGTTTCTTCCAGTGCTCCTGTTTCCTCCTAGAGCCCATAGATGTGCAGGTTGGGTGGATTGGCCATGGGAAATCGCCCACAGTGTCCAGGGACATGCAGGCTTGGGTGAGGAGGGCAGCTCAGTGTGGTCTCCACTGTGACGCCAACCATGGTTGAATATCACGACAACAGTTCACTGCCAGGCGGTGACTAACACTGAAGGAAATCGAGGAAGACTCGAGATGAAGGGCTCTGGAAGAAACTTTATTCAACAACTCTCATTTAGATGCATATCCTTCAGTGTCATTGGGTCTAATTGTGGAACTGCCTCCCTAAACAGGTCTGTGTAGCAATTCACCACCACCTTCTCCAAGGCAATTAGGGATCGACTGTAAATATTGGCATGATAGCAGCATCCAAATGTTATTAGGCCTAACAAAAGGAACCTTTTTACTTGTGCTTACAGAATGAACTGAGATCCTCTCTAAACGCATTGAGGGAGAGAAAGAGAGTGTTCACTGAGATTATGTACAAACAACAACAGAAGATTTCAGCACTCACGGTATGTATTGAATAAAGTTTCCCCCAAATTAATATGCAATGAATTTTCATTTAATCAAACTAAAGCATCTTAGTGTTTGGCACAAAACGCATGCATCAAAAACACAGGACAGGGTCAGCACCGGGTTAGATACAGAGTAAAACTCCTTGTAAACCGTCCCTCATCAAACACTCCCGGGACAGGGACAGCACAGGGTTAGATAGAGAGTAAAGCTCCCTGTACACTGTCCCCATCAAACACTCCCAGGACAGGGACAGAACAGGGTTAGATAGAGAGTAATGCTTCCTCTACACTGTCCCAGGACAGGGACAGAACAGGATTAGATAGAGAGTAAAGCTCCCTGTACACTGTCCCCATCAAACAGTCCCAGGACAGGAACAGTGCAAGGTTAGATACAGAGTAAAGCTCCCTGTACACTGTCCCATTAAATAGACCCAGGACAGGGACAGCACGGGGTTAGATTGTTGTTTCCCAGGGTGAAAGGTTAGTGTCCGACCGATGACGATTCGATCTCAGAGGGAAACATTAAGCCCCTGTGGCACCGTGCCCCAATCCCCCTCTCCTGCAGCATCTCCATGGCTGATGCGAACACTGTTTCTTCCCAAAGGAGGCGATGGAGGGTCTGGCGCAGCACGTGTCAGAGGAGTTTGCAGGAATGCGCCGGTTCCTGGACCGGAGGGAGCGGGAGCTGAAGAAGGAGCTATCGGAGCATGCGGGCAATCTGCTGCAGCCCCTGGAGGACAATCTGCGTGCCATCCAGCGGGCACTCATCTCCATTCAGAGGGAAATCATCGCGTGCCAGGCCACTGCCAATCAACGTGATAGTCTGCAGTTCCTCCAGGTATGGGGCGGGATAGGGTACTGGGACTGGCATGTTCCCAAACCAGGGCAGTCAATCTGGAATGTGAGCCCCCAGGCAGCAGTGCCCGCTCCGGAATGGGCACCCGGACATGTCAGCCCTAGGCTTGGCTCCTGCAGAGATAGACTATTGTATCAAACCAGTCAGTGCAGCCTCAGCGTAAACTCGAAGGGCCTGACTACTGTCCCCAGGACAGAGCTCCTACATGCCTGGCAGGCAACTGAGCATCTAGATGCATGCCAGGATCTTTGATTGCCCACTTACCCCTGCCCCCAACCCCACTCCACCCCCGCCCGGGAGTTATGCCCCCATATGAAGAATGAGTACATTCAATCATAGAATCCCCTACAGTGTGGAAGCAGGCCGTTCAGCCCATCGAGTCCGCACTGACCCTCCAAAGAGCATCCCCAACCAGACCCACCCCTATCCTTGTATTTCCAATGGCTGACCCAGCTAGTCGACACATCCCTGGACACTATGGGACAAATTTAGCATGGCCAATCCACCCTAACCTGCTCATCATTGGGCTGTGGGAGGAAACCGGAGCACCCAGAGGAAATCCGCGCAGACACGGGGAGAACGTGCAAACTCCACACAGACAGTCGCCCGAGGCTGGAATCGAACCCAGGTCCCTGGTGCTGTGAGGCAGCAGGGCTAACCATTGAAGTGCCTGAAGGCGGCACGTGATACATCGGTTCAGGCCCATTCCTAGAGCTTCAATCGTAGGGTGTGCCACTTCCCTAATGAACACTCAAGCTTTCCTGTCAGGTGGAGGAGAACTGCCCTGGAATGTTTTGGCACCCCTCTGGTTTGTTTTTATTCATTCACGGGATGTGAACGGTTCTGCCTGGGCCATTATGTTACCCATCCCTAATTGTCCACAGGGCAGTTAAGAGCCAACCGCGTTGCGGCTCTGGAGTCAGGTAAGGATGGCAGTTGTCTTCCCTAAAGGCTATTAGTGAACCAGATGGGTTCCCCTTTGCGCCACCCCAGCATTATTAGACTCTCCTAATTCCAGATTTTTATTGAATTCAAATTCCACCAACTGGGATTCAAACCCGGGTGCCCAGGGCATCTCTGGATTAACAGCCCAGCGATAATACCACTAGGGCATCACCTCATGCCTGTTTACAGTTGTGCCCCAGGTCTGAATGTTTCAGAGCCCAGTTTGCCCCATTGGGCGCTGAATGTCAATTCCTATCGCACCCCACCATCCTCCCACAGCTGCCCGGGGAACGTGGCATTCAGTGGCTAATTTCCTCATTTCCACCCCTCCCCTCCTGCCCTCCAACACTGTGCTGCAATGGGATTTGTTTTTATTTGAATTTCTTTTCTCCAGATGGAGAAGCAGAAAGACAGAAACAGAGAGAAGTTGCCTTCACCTTGCGAGGCCCACACTCTGTCCTCACCTCCTAGGCCTCATCGCAGATGAAGCTTTGCTTGATTTTTTTTTCTGTTGATGCTTCCAGAGAAGGTGACTTCTCCACGCTTGAAGACCTCATAGTGACAGTGTTCTGTGCTGCTCATTGACATGTAAATTATGGAAGTTCTGATACATTGCCCTTCTCTTTGTAGGAAGCCAGCTGGTTCAGAGAGAGGTACGTAATGAACGAGAGAGATCTCATTGAAACACGCAGAATCTCTACGGAGTTCCATAATGTCTCCTCGTCATTTGTGGGGGGGATCTAGAACCAGGGGACACAGACTGTGACAGCACTGCTTGACAAGGTGATACCAGGACTTCAGGTTATGAGGCGGCTTTGTACAAATTAGGCCTGTTTTCTCACAAATTTAGCAGGTTAAGTGGTGATCTGATCAAAGTCTTCAAGCTATTAACAGGAAAAGACAGGGTGGATAAAGATAAACTATTTCCACTGGTTAGAAATTCTAGAACTAGGGGGCAAGGTCCGAGAATTAGGGTCAGACTGTTCAGGAGTGATGTTAGGAAACACTTCTACACACAGAGGATGAAAGATAGAGTCATAGTGTAGTACAGCATGGAAACAGACCCTTCGGCCAAGCTTGTCTATTCAGCCTCTCCCTGTAGCTCCAACGCAGGCAACATCCTTTTCTGTGCCCTTTCAAGTTTAACAACATCCTTCCAATAGCAAGGAGACCAGAACTGAACGCAGCATTCCAAAAGTAGCCTCACCAACGTTCTGTCCAGCTGCAACATGTTTGGAATTCCTTCCCACAAATGGCAGTGGAGGCTAGATCAGTTCTTAGTTTTAAATCTGAGTTGGATACATTTTTGTCAAGCAGAGGAGGTGGGCCAAAGGACGTGGAGTGAGGGCCTCGGATCAGCCACGATTTCACTGAATGGTAGAACACTGCTCGAGCGGCTGAATGGCCTCCCCCTTTCCTATGAATAAAGGGGCAGGAGAGGACTGAGATAAAGAGGAATTTCTTTACTCAGAGGCTGATGAATCTCAGGCATCGTTTGGCCCAGACAGAAGCTGAGGCAGAGATTGATGAGAAAGATAGATATTGAGGAGCCTGGGGATAAGGCAGGAGATTGGGGTTGAGCCCTCGGATCGTTGACATTATTCCCAGCAGGCTCGATGGGCCGAATTACATCCATCTGCTCTTGTTTCTCGTATGTCCCGACCTAACCAGCACACCGTCTCTTCATCACACTGCGGCGTCATAGCATTGTACCGGCCTTTCGGCCCATCGCACTCACCCTGCTGTCCGTGGGTGCTGAAAGCGGTAAGGCTGTCAGCCTGGCCCCCCACTTTGGTCCTGCTCAGGCCCTCAGATCATTTACAGGCCTCGTTCTGTCTCCATCATATGAGAAGTTTGGGGAGGGGAGGGCAGTACTGGTATGGTTTGGCAACTTGCATCGTCGGTGCCAGTGCTGGGCTGGCAGAGAGGATACCTCCTCTAGGGAACTGTCATGTGCCAAGCAGAAGTGCCATCCAATGGCACTCCCTCCCCCGACCTTTCTAACCCATCTCCTACGGGTCACCAGCCTGCACCCTCTCTCCTGCTTGTACAGGGGTGCTCCAGCCAGCTTCTTTCCACTAAAACACCAGGCGTGGTTCCGATTTCTCCCGACTCGTCACCTACCCTCCCACCGACTTCAGTCTCAGAAACCACCCTGTAGTTCCAGTGATGGCCACTGCACCGGGTGGCGCTCTTGAGCTAGGTTCCCCTCTACTCTATTTTTCAAACTGAAAGGAAAGCTGCCTGTGCTCTTTGAAAAAACAGAGGGTTTAGTTGGCCCTGCTTGGGGTACCGTAACGAAGGGAACACAACCAAATGGAAACTTGGAAAGAAAAATGGACAGAGACCCATTGGACCGAAGCGACATTCTCCGGGGTGATAACATGCCTCAGGCCCTGCGGTGCCGACCGGCCTCTGAAAGCTGATCTCCCTCGAGGGTAGGACACCCTCCCGGATGGGGGAACGCACTCCATCTCTGAATCTGTTAAGGCCAAACCCGGTAGGTAACTGGGGAAGGGTGTGGGGCAGGAGCTGGTGGAGGTAGGGGCCTCCGGTCCAGCCCGCTCTTTGACCTGCTGCATTTAGAAGCCGTCCCTAAGCTTTTGTCGCCACTGACGCCGTCTATCTCCCTGCACACAGGCCCCGCGAGGAGATTCACCACCCTTCCGTGCTCTCAGCAAAGCTGTGCCTGGGCCTTTTTAAAGGGCCCCTCCAATACCGCCTGTGGAAGGAGATGAAAGACTACATTAGCCCAGGTAAACTGCGACACGGCGCGCTCACACACACACACATACACACACACACACACACACACACACACACACACGGTGCGACCTGTGTCTGATTCCTAGCTGGTGAATTCTGGGACACGTACACAAATGGCCAAGAGGTGTTGGAACAATAGCCAGAGGAAGGAAACGGGAATCTGCCTCAGTGGCTGTAAACTTGACGTCAAATCCATCCGAGATAGTGGGAACTGCAGATGCTGGAGAATCTGAGATAACAAGGTGTAGAGCTGGATGAACACAGCAGGCCAAGCAGCATCAGAGGAGCAGGAAGGCTGACGTTTTGGGCCTAGACCCTTCTTCAGAAATGGGGGGGGAAGGGGGTTCTGAAATAAATAGGGAGAGAGGGGGAGGCAGATAGAAAATGGTAGGTTACGTGGAACAATCCCTCTTCCGTAGCTACACCGGCTCTAAATCCCACCTCTTCCTCCGTTACATTGATGACTGTATCGGCGCCGCCTCATGCTCCCACAAGGAGCTGGAACAGTTCATCCACTTCACCAACACGTTCCACCCCAACCTTAAGTTCACCTGGACCATCTCTGATACCTCTCTCTCCTTCCAGGACCTCTCTGTTTCCATCTCTGACAACCATCTGGAAATCGATATCCATTTCAAGCCCACCGACTCCCACAGCTACCTAGAATACACTTCCTCCCACCCACCTTCCTGCAAAAATGCCATCCCCTATTCCCAATTCCTTCGCCTCCGCCGCATCTGCTCCCAGGACGAAGCATTCCACTCCCGTACATCTCAGATGTCCTCGTTTTTCAAGGACCGCAACTTCCCCTCCTCAGTGGTCGAGAACACCCTCAACCGTGTCTCCCGCATTTCCCGCAACTCATCCCTCACACCCCCTCCCCGCAATAACAACCAAAACAGAATTCCCCTCGTCCTCAAGTACCACTCCACCAACCTCCAGATCCAACGCATCATCCTCCGACACTTCCGCCATCTGCAATCCGACCCCACCACCAAAGACATCTTTCCCTCCCCACCCTTATCTGCTTTCCGGAGGGACCACTCTCTCCGCTCCACACTCCTTGTCCGCTCCACACTCCCCTCCAGCCCCACCACACTCGGCACTTTTCCCTGCAACCGCAGGAAGTGCTACACCTGCCCCTACAGCTTCCCCCGCACCCCCATCCCAGGCCCCAAGAAGACTTTCAACATCAAGCAGATGTTCACCTGCACATCTGCTAATGTGGTATACTGTATCCACTGTTCCCATTGTGGCCTCCTCTACATCGGGGAAACCAAGCGGAGGCTTGGGGACCGCTTTGCAGAACACCTACGCTCGGTTCGCACTAAACAACTGCACCTCCCAGTCGCGAACCATTTCAAATCCCCTTCCCATTCCTCAGATGACATGTCCATCCTGGGCCTCCTGCAGTGCCACAACGATGCCACCCGAAGGTTGCAGGAACTGCAACTCATATTCCGCTTAGGAACCCTGCAGCCCAATGGTATCAATGTGGACTTCACAAGCTTCAAAATCTCCCTCCTCCACCGCATCCCAAAACCAGCCCAGCTTGTCCCCGCCTCCCTAACCTATTCCCTCCTCCCACCTCAAGCCCCAACCCCATCTCCTACCTACTAACCTCATCCCGCCCCCTTGACGTGTCCGTCCTCCCTGGACTGACCTATCTCCTCCCTACCTCCCCACCTACACTCACCTTTACTGGCTCCATTCCCGCCTCCTTGACCTGTCTGTCTCCCCTCCACCTATCTTCTCCTCTATCCGCCCTCCCCCTCTCTTCCTATTTATTTCAGAACCCCCTTCCCCTCCCCCATTTCTGAAGAAGGGTCTAGGCCTGAAACGTCAGCCTTCCTGCTCCTCTGATGCTGTTTGGCCTGCTGTGTTCATCCAGCTCTACAACTTGTTATCTCAGATTCTCCAGCATCTGCAGATTCCTACTATCTCTAAAACATCCTGTGCCTGGTTTCCATCACAGATGCTAACCCCTAGAATTTGCTAATCAGAAAGCACACTGCAGGAAAACCTCCTCAGCTTTTCAGGGAAAACTTTGCATTATGCTCCTTTCGCAATCGTGTGGAGAATCCTGAATCTCTGCAGCCAGTGAATTACTTTTTGAAATCGCTACAGCATCTTACACCCATCCACAGACAGCAACGTGCGCACAGAATTAGATTACCTGTTTTAATGATGGTGGCTGAGGGATAAATATTAGTCAGAACCCTGGGATGACTTCTCCTGCTCTGCTTTAAGCCAACAGGAGAGTTTCATTCCACCTAGAGAGAGAACTGGGGCCTTGGTTTGGGCCTTTACTGCACAGCCAGCTGAGAGTGCTACTAGAACCACCATTGTCAAATAATAGGAACAATGTGTCCCAGTGTCCCCAGCCTCCCTCTGCTTGATTAGTGGGGGCTCTCTTGGTTACTTCCACTGCAGGCCCATAGGAAGGTGGAAATCCTCAGAATTTGCATCCTGGCCCAGTCATACCAGCTGTGAAGTGTAGATAATCCATGGCAAATTTCAGGCTCATCATGGGCTTGTCAGACCCAGTGGGGGCCTGACAGACCGAGCAGGGGCCTATCAGAATCACCAGGGGCCTGTCAGACCAAGCAGGGGCCTATCAGAATCACCAAGGGCCTGTCAGACCGAGCAGGGGCCTGTCAGAATCACCAGGGGCCTGTCAGACCTAGCAGGGCCCTGTCAGAAACAGTAGGAGCCCTGTCAGACTGAGCAGGGTTAGGGTTCGATCCAGCAGGAGCCTGACAGAGTCTTCCTGCTTGTTGAACCCACGAGAGGCCCATCCACCACATTACAGCAGCCTGTCAGATGAACTGGAGGCCCCTGTGAAAAGTACCAGAGATCTGGTCAGAAACACCCAGGAAACACTGCGTACATGAAAATGGGTCTATACCTCTCACCCACAGAGAGAACAAAACCACAAATAAAAAAAGGGCACGGAGTCAATAGTAAAGCTTTCGGGTCAGGTTTTGAGTTTTGTTGGTTCCAGAGGGGCGACGAGGGTGGGTACAGAGGGCAGGGTATGACTTGTGGCCTGCTGCACTCTGACTGACTGTCTCATGGCCTCACCCTCTCTCCTCTCCTCTCCTGTCTGTGGCAGTGCCAGCACCACTGACCCTCGACCCGGACACCGCCAGCCCCTGGCTCATGCTGCTGGAGGACCTGACGGGTGCCGGACTGGGCGGCGCGCAGCGTGTGGTGGATGATGGCCCTCTCCGGTTCGATCACTCGCCCTGCGTGCTGGCCTCTGAGGGCTTCGCTGGGGGAAGGCGCTACTGGGAGGTGGCAGTGCGGCGCCAGGCTGAGTGGGCGATCGGGCTAACACAGGAGTCGGCACGGCGCAAGGGCGCCATCACCCTGTCACCACAGGATGGCTACTGGGCCATGTGGAGGAAGAAGGGCGACAACTACCGGGCCCTGACCTCGCCCCCAACCCGGCTAACCCCAAGCACCGAGCCCAGCAAGCTGGGCATCTACCTGGACTACGAGGCCGGGCAGGTATCCTTCTACGACGCCGAGCGGATGTCACACCTCTACACCTTCACTGACACGTTCACCGAGCGCCTGTACCCGTTCTTCAGCCCCGGCCTGAGCGACGGGCTCTGCAGTGCTGCCCTGGTGACCATCTGCCATCTCAGTCTCTGACCCGTCGGCCTCGCACGCTCTGCATGGACTCAGCTCTCTCCAGGCCTCAGGACTTCACAAAAAGCGGCCTAGTCACTGCGCTGTTTGTCCAGAGACCCCAGGTTTCAAATCCTGGATGGTGAAGTTTGAATTCATTCAAAAAAAAAATCTGGAATTAATGGTGGCTGTGAATCCATTGTCAGAAAAGCCCATCCGCTCCAACAATGCCCCTTTATGGGAGGAAATCTGCCATCCTTACCTGGTCAGGCCTACACGTGACTCCAGACCACAACAAAGACTCATTACTACCCTCTGGGCAATTAGGAATTGCCAATAAATGCTGGCCTAGCCAGTGACGCCCACATCCTGTGAACAAATTTTTAAAAATGTTCTTCACAGCCAGTGAAATGCATTTTTCTGATGTGTAGAACAGGTTGGGTTGGCCATGTTGTGCACAGCAGGATCCCACCTTTTGCTTTAAAAGATGAAGCCAGTTTAAGGGTTGTGAGAGCCACAATTGACATGCCATACGGGTGTCACATGTAACGATTAAAGAAGTACATTCTCTTGTCCCTGCTCCTGAGGTGGTGGCTTGATCTGGGACGAAGGAGAGACGTGAGAGAAGGGGAGACGTGCAGGACTGATTGAACCACCTCTGGCAGGCTGTGCCTCCCAGCTCCTCCCCCACCCCGGGCCCTCAAGCAGGCTCTGCCTCCCGATCCCCAGGCCCTCGCGTAATCCCCAAACAATTAAGGTGGCTGACTACTGTGATCTTCATGCCAGAAAATGACAGCACGGGATTAGATACAGAGTAAAGCTCCCTCTTCTCTTTTAAAGTGAAAGCAAAGCTCCCTCCCTGCTTTTAAACTGAAAGCCCAATAATAATTGATTAAGGCAGACGGTGGGGTTTGAAAGCCACGAGCAGGACTTGCTTTGTGCAACCTAGCAAGATGAGAGCTCAGAAAAATATCCAAGGCAGTACTATCTTGGTGAAGCTCTCTGTCAGTGAAAAAAAAATCAGGGTTTTGTCTGAGAGCAATTGCTGGCTTGCAGTTTGCAAGAATCCAGGACAGTGCAAATGAAGGAAATAGTGAAGGCAGACTGCCAGAGGGCATGCAGTCATTGAGACACTACATGATGGAGGGACTTTGATAGAGTTTCAAAGCCATATCATTAAAAGTGGAAAACCACAATCGTTTAAAAAGTTTTCATTTAATTCCTGGGGGTGGGGCAAGAACTGCTGATAAATCCATAGGATTTGCTGTTTGATGTGTTCTGTAGGATGCTCAACCATCACTTATTTGTATGTTACACATTTTTGCCTCATGTTAATTTAGGATGTTAGAATACAATCCACATCTATTATTGCACCAATTGTTTGAGGATAATATTTTATGTATGTTTGAAACAAGGCTTATTTGTAATAAAATCATTTTTGTTGTTGTTGACAGAAACCTGACTGAATTACTTTTCCAGCTGTCTTTGTAATTGGCATTATCACCAATTTAAAATCTGTAATGATGTGTGGATGAATGGGACTAGACAGGAATTGATGCATCCCTCCATAAAAAATAGGAACAGTGGTAGGCCCTTCAGCCCCGCAAGCTTGCTCTGCCAATCAATAGGATCACTGCTGATCTGACACTCCCCACTTTCCTGCCCTTTTCCCACTACCCTCAATTCCCCGAATGATCGCCAATCTATCTATCTCAGGCTTAAATATACGCAAGGACTCTGCCCCCACAGCTCTCTTGGGAAGGAGTTTCAAAAAACTCTCAGCCCTCAGAGAAGAAATTCCTCTTAAATTGGCACCCCTTTATTCTGAGACTATGTCCTCTGGTCCGAGACTCTCCCACAAGAGGAAACATCCTCTCAGTATTTACCCTGGGAAGCCCCTGAAGAATCCTACATGTTACAATGAAATTATCTCTCATTCTTCTAAACTCCAGTGAGTAGAGTCCCAACCTGTTCAGCCTTTGCTCACAAGGCAATCTCTCCTCCAGTGAACCTTCTCTGAACTGCCTCCAATGAATGATATCTTTCCTTAAATAATGGGACTAAAACCACTCATGGTACTCCAGATGTGGAATAACCAGCACCTTGTACTGTTGCAGTAAGACTTCCGTACATTCCACCCACTTGATATAAAAGCCAACAAGGTGGCTCTAGGGTGGCACAGTGGCTCAATGGTTAACACTGCTGCCACACAAGCGCCAGGCTACCCAGGTTCCATTCCGCTCTCGGGCAACTGTTTGAGTGGAGTTTGCACATTCTCCCCGTGTCTGCGTGGGTTTCCTCTGGGTGCTCCAGTTTCCTCCCACAGTCCAAAGATGTTCAGGGTAGGTGGACTGGCTGTGCTAAATCGCTCCGTAGTGTCCAGGAATGTGCAGGCGAGGTGGATTAGCCATGGGAAATGCAGGATTACAGGGACAGGGTGGGTTTGGGTGGAATGCTCTTTGGAGGGTCAATGGGCCGAATGGCTTGCTTGCACACTATAGGGATTCTATGAACATTCTGTCAGCCTTCCTGATTATCTGCTAAACCCGCGTGCTAGTTCCAGTTGGCTGAATAGGGGCCAAATGGAATGGGTTGTGTCTCAAGGGAACAGGAAAGAACGAGTCAGCACCCTTCCCTTTTAGTACACCCACATGACAGGCCATGAACACAGCGCCATGATAGAGTGCAAGTGCTCCTGGCTGGAACCCTCTGTCACATCCCCCAAGCAACATAACTGTAGCACAACCTCTCTGTGAAAAAGCTGAGAGTTGTGGGTGCGGATGACATGTGAAATACTGGAGCCCTATTCAGCCCCTTTATCCTGACACGCCAATTGATGGTGATGTTCTCTCGCTCTCTGCTGCCCATCTGAACATGGCATTTTCCTGTTTGACTCCACAGTGATGCACCCTGTGGTTGCACAGCTGCTCCTCACTACTGCTGCTCGGATATTCGGGGAGCGGTGCTTGTCCTAGAACAAGGTGAGAGGAGGAGTTGGGGTGCAGAGGTCAGGGCAGAAAAAAAAAGGTCGAATGACCCCTCATTAGGGAAGAGGTCAGGGTTCTGGGGAGGGAGAAGAGGTCACGGGAGGGCATAGGAGAGTCTTTTGGGGAGGAAGGTTGGAGTCAGGGAGAGTGAGGGGGACAAGTCAGGGTTGGGATTGGGGAGGGTTATAGGTCATCAGGTCACAGAATCCCTACAGTGTGGAAACAGGACAATCGGCCCCTTGAGTCCACACCGACCCTCCAAAGAGAATCCCACTCAGACCCATCACCCTACCTTATCCTATCCCTGCAACCCTGCATTTACCAAGGCCAGTTCACCCAACCTGCACATTTTTGGACAGTGGGGGGGAAACCGGAGCACCCAGAGGGAACCCACGCAGACGCAGGGAGAACATGCAAACTGCACACAGACAGTCGCCCGAAGGTGGAATCAAACCCAGGTTCCTGGTGCTGTGAGGCAGCAGTGCTAACCACTGAGCCACCGTGCAATTGGGGTTGTGGGGGTGAGGCTATACAGGAGTTTACAAACTAACATGCGCTCAGCCTGATTCCTTCTAAAGGGAAAGGTTCAGATAATCAGCTGACCTTTAATAATTCCTCCAATTTGGGAAGGACTGGCTAGGAGTCTCTGTCAGATCAGAAAAGATTCGTCTCTGGGCAAAATGTCTCTCTGAGGGGGCAACTGAGGTAGTTGGGATTTTAATCAAATTATCAAGGCCATGTTCAACCGAGTGTGGCATCAAAGAGCCCAAGTAAAAGTCAATGGGAACCCAGGGTAAACACTCCGCTGGTTGGAGTCATACCTGGCACATAGGATGACGGTTGTGGTTGTCAGAGGTCAGACATTTCAGCTTCAGGACATCTCTGCAGAGTTTGTCAGAGTATCTGATTTTCCACTCAACCTCTTCAGAGAGGTTGCTACATGCTCTGGAGTGGGTGGGTCTTGAACCCAGGTCTTTTGGCCCAGATGCAGGGCCACCACTGCTCAAGAGAGCCCTAGTTCATCAGGATACTGTCCTAGACCCAATCATCTTCAGCTGCTGGATCAAAGACCTTGCCTCATGGGCATCGCTAGCAATATCAACATTTATTTCCCTAGAATTGATTGTCATAGATTGACCATTTCAGAGGGAAGTTAAGAATCAACTGCACTTGCGGTAGGTCTGGAGTCACCTGCAGGCCAGACATAATTCAGGTCAGAGGCTAGGAATCCTGCAGTGAGTAACTGACTTCCCAAAGCCTGTCCACTCTCTACAAGACACAAGTCATGAGGGTGATGGAACACTCCCCACTCGCCTGGATGGGTGCAGACCCAAGAAGCTCAGTATCATCCAGGACAAAGCAGCCCATTTGATTAGCAACACATCCACAAACATCCATAGCCTCCACCACCAACACTCAGTAGCAGCAGTGTGTGTACCATCTACAACACCAACTTTCAAAGGCTCCTCCAGCAGCGCCTTCCAAATCCTCACTTACTGCAAACTGAAGGACAAGCAGAGCTGGTACATGAGAATACCACTCTCTGCAAGGTTTTTCCCTCTCTAAACCACTCACTATCCTGATTTGAAAATATATCACCCAAACAGCAAAGGCTACGTTCCATGAGTGAATTTAAGAAACATCAGTGTCTTCAGGTGTTTGGGATGATCCCACTAGGAGCAGGGGAATTGCTAAGTGGTCATTAACCATAGCACACAGGGATTGGCTGAGGGATCAAACAAGGAGTCAGGGAACACGCCCTCCACTTGGGCTGGGATTTGTAAAGGCTCCCGTTTCAGAGGGCCTCTGTTTGACTGTGTTGTTCCTGGGGGGGGTAGGGGTGGCTGGCAGTGTGCCAGGTAGGTGGGCACAGGGACCCACCATGGCTCTTGCCTGGGCTCATGTCAGTTTCACGGAGGAGTTGCTGTGTCCCATCTGTCTGGAGCTGTTCGTGGACCCGGTCATTTTGAGCTGTGGCCACAACTTCTGCCGTCAGTGCGTGCAGGAGTACTGGCAGCGCCAGGCCACGGGGCTGTGCTGCCCAGAGTGCCGGGAGGAGACGGGTCAGGAGGGACCCCTCCGCCCCAACCAGGTGGTGCAGGAGATGAGTGAGGAGGCTCGCTTGCTGGCCGGCCTGTACTGCCAGCTGCATGGCCTCCGCTACAAACTGTTCTGTGACACTGACCTGCAGCTGATCTGTGTAAGCTGCCGGGACAGCCCAGAGCACCAGCAGCACGAGGCCAGTCCTGTCCAGGAGGCTGCGCAATTCTACAAGGTACTGCTCCCCTCTCTGCCCCCTCCTTGACCCCCCTCTGCCCCCCCAATCCACTTCCCCCTACCCACTGTCTCCTTTCCCAACAACCACACCCCGTGCCCCTTCCACACCACACCACACCCCGCGCCCCTTCCACTCCACACCACACCA